AATTCCAATTTGAATAATCAATTATACAGGTTGTAAAAAGAAAGAAATCTTCCATCCTATCTGACTCTGAGGATGAGGAAAGGGTCATTAGAGATGATAAAAAAGATTCCAGCAATCTTACAACAAATAAGAAAAGCAAAAGCAAAGAGCCTTGCAAAGCAGTACCTCTTACTGAATTATTTGGCAAGAAGCCGATAATGAGAATAGAAGAGACAAAAGTAAACCAAAAATTACAGAAAGTGGTAAATATTGTATTCAAGTACAAACAGAAAAATTAAAGAAATATGCTAAAACTTTCTGGGATTTATTCTGGAATTTATGTAGGAATCCAAGTTTCATGATGATGAAGATTTTGATGCTGTGCTTAAACAATTGGATGTACAAGATACCCTGATACAGGATAAGAAGAGTAAAAGCAAAAATGTGGATAATCCTAAGAAATCAGAAGCTGCAGTTAAGACAGGTATGTTTAAATTTAATTTATTTATTGTTTAAATAGATACTGTTACACAAATTTGACATGATAGAATATTTACAGAGGTGGCCTCTAATAAAAACAGGAAACATAATAATAGTTTGAAAGAGTGCGATAATATAACTAACAATACGAATGAACTAAGATCTGAAAAAGTAAAACAATCTCCTAATAAAAATAATGTATATTCAAAAGTTACAAATTCTTCTCCAAAACAGAACTTACAAAAAGAGAAAAAAGGTAGCTCGAATGGAGATTTAGATATAAGCAGTAAGTATGATGATAGGATTTCTAAGTAATTAAATTATAATTCACAACGTCTATTTCTGCAGAAAAAGACAAAGATACAGAAAAGTCAAGTAGAAAGAAAGCCAAAATAATGGAAGAAAATTTATTTGAAGAAAGGAAAGAAATGAAAAAACAGCGTACTATAATGTATGAAAAATATCTTCAGAGAGGCGGTGCCAGAAACCCTGGTTCAAAAGAGATTCCTACAGTAAGAGATTTTACATATGATAATAACAATGAATAGTTCTATATGATAGATTATATTTTACATAATAATAATAGAATAATGTCAATTTAATATTATAGTTATAACTGCAAGAAATAATATTAATAATATTTAAAATAGCATTAAAAGTTATAAAAAGTTCCTAAAAATAGTTACAAGATATGATGCCTTGTCTGAATCTGCAACATTCGTATCATGCGAAGTAGCTAATGGATAGCGCACGACGTTGTGCAGTGTCTACTTTATTTTTTTAAATTAAAAGTCTATTCTGAAACTCCATCCTGTAAAAAAAATATGTTTTGTCTATAATTTAATAAGGAATTCGATCATATTTTATTTAAACTTTCATAAATGATAATTTTCGATGGAAAAATTTAATTAATATTTACATTATTAATAACAATAAAAATTATTAATGTTTTAAACAAATTCAAATAATATTATAAAAAGCACTTAATTTTCCCTTTAAAATGTTTTTCGTACTTCTATGATGTTCTTTCTATGATGATTTAAACCAAAGATATTTAACTTCAAAGTAGAGCAGTTGCTCAGTTTTGTAAAAATTTCCATGTGAAAAAACTATAATGAAAACATTTTTTAGAGGGGCATAAGCAGTTAAAAAAAGTATTTTTTGTTCAATTTTGTCAGAAATTGCTCATATAGTAGAATAGAGATTGTTTTTCAATAAAATTAGGAAAGATTTTCAATTAATATTCTATCCCAGATTTTTTATTTGATTTTTTATCTCAGGGTGCCGAAAATTGTTTAGCTGGAATAAGTTTTTGTATTACTGGTGTGTTGGATTCCTTAGAAAGAAATGAAGCCGAAGATTTAATACAAAAATATGGTGGCCGGATTGTAAAATCTGTATCAAACAAAGTAAATTATATTATGGTGGGAGATGAGGCTGGCCCATCTAAATTGGCAAAAGTGTGTTTTTTTATATGATTATATATACTCATATATTTTGCATATATCTCTTTTATTTTTTATATGAAATATAAATTTTCAGGCTAGTAATTTAGGTATTAAACAAATATCTGAAGATGATCTCCTTGAAATGATTCGCACGAGACCGGAAGGTAAAGCTGCAGACATCAAGCCGACTAAAGCAAAATCAAACGTGAAAAAGATATTTAGAAAATTTGAGAGCGATGAATTATCATCACCGAACAAAACAAAAGCATTATTAGATTCACCTAAAAAGATAAAAATACCACCATCTTTATCAGTAAAAACCAGTGTGAATACGGAAACTTTGCCAACATCAAAACAAGATTTAGATGCAAGCAATAATACACAGAAAGTAAATATAGATATTAATTTGATATACATGCACAAATGATACAAAATGACATAAAATGACACAGAGCTTAAAATATAATTACTTCCTTGCTTTTATTATATTTTTCCAGATAATAACAAGTATTAGATCAGAACCATTAGTTGAGAGATATAGACCCAAAACTATGAAGCAAATTATAGGTCAGCAAGGAGATAAGAGCTGTGCACATAACTTATACATATGGCTACGTGATTGGCATCAAAATCGTCAGAATCCCAAATTCAAAGACAGCAGTATGTTAACTTTTATTATTGTTCTTTTATCAAATCTTGGTATGAAGATAAAAAAAGGTTAATTAATCTGATTATAATTTCATTTCAATAGCTAGCAAGCAAACTCATGGACAAAACTTCAAAGCTGCCTTGTTGTCTGGTCCACCGGGCGTTGGTAAAACAACAACTGTGCAAGTTGTTTGTAAAGAATTGGGATACGATCTTGTGGAATTCAATGCTTCCGACACGAGAAACAAAGCACTTCTAAAAGAAGCGGTCTCAGGATTATTATCCAATACTACGATGAAAGATTATGTCACAGGTGGGCATGTGATATAAAATCTTGAAATAATTATACCATTTTCTTGTCTCACACTACGTTACAGGTACCAAACAAAAAATTACGAGCAAGCACGTGCTGTTGATGGATGAAGTTGACGGTATGGCTGGCAACGAAGATCGTGGTGGCTTACAGGAATTAGTTAATTTAATAAAACATACCGATGTACCAGTTATCTATATATGTAATGATCGATTTAATACAAAGGTGAAAACTATTTCTACGCACAGCTATGACCTAAAATATCCGAGGCTCAGAGTGGAACAGATCAGGGTATATACTTGGTTATAGAATCTAGTTTGAGTAATCTTTCTTATTTGATATAATTCAAACAGCAACATAAGAAAGAGCATAAGTCTGTATACTCTGTATATTTTGTATACTATTTGTTTTATTAAATTCACTATATATTTGATACTTTATCTTTGCACACTAATTTTTGTATTTGCCTTTTTTATTTTGTTATTTTAATTATCTTAGCGCTAGAACTAAAATAATAAAATAAAAAGGACAACATAAAAGTCAATTTTATTCACACAAACACACATTGTTCCTAATTTGATATACTTTGATATCTTTTCTACAGAGTTCTATGAAGTCTCTGTGCTTTAAAGAGAACATCAAGATTTCAACGGAGGATCTCGATCATTTAATCGAATCGACGAATTATGATATTCGACAAGTAATAAACCATCTGGAGTTTCTCGGTACTCAAATGACTCACGTGAAGACAACTGATAAAAAACATTCAAATAAGAACTTTAAGCTCGGTCCATTCGATGTTACAAAAATAGCATTCAATGCGGATGAGCAAAAAAATATGAGTCTGAATGAGAAGATCGGTTTATATTTTCATGATTACAATATAGCGCCTCTTTTTATACAAGAAAATTATCAGGGAGTTAGATTATCTCAAATATCACTGTAAGTATATCGCTACTTTTATGAAGCTGCTTTTTAAAGTTCAAGAATTAAGATTTGTTACATTTGCAGTCGTCAGAGGTTAGAAAGAATTGCCAATGCAGCTGATAGTATATCTCAGGGGGACCTCATCGAGAAGGTGATGAGAAGTAATATGATGTGGAGTCTACTTCCGTTGCATGCTTGTTTCTCATTTGTTATACCAGCTAATGAAATGTCAGGAAGCTCTGACGGATTGATACGATTCCCGAGCTGGTTCGGGCGAAATTCCAAGACAACAAGATTTAACCGGTATTATAAAATATTTATATACTTTTATTATTATTATGTGATTCATTATGGTTGTATCGAATTTCATTAGCAGCACTTTGTCCGCTGTGTATCATTTCCAGATTATTGCAAGAATTGACGACGCATACTCGATTAGCTACGAGTGCAAACAAGGATGCCCTGAATATGGATTATTTACCTTATATTCGAAATGCTATTGTAAAACCTTTGATAGATAATGGTGTAGATGGTATAGAAGAAGCAATAAATATTATGGGAAAGTATCATTTAACTAGGTTCGTATCTTATTTACATTGAATGCACTACAAAACACAAAAGCAGATACATATGCTGATATTTCATTTTTTCTTAGGGAAGACTTGGATTCAGCAATAGAAATTTCTTTTTGGCCAGGAATGTCCGATTCGACGAGTAATCTTGATAGTAAAGTATGTGCAATATTAATTAATAATAATGAAGATTCTTTTATTATGATAACTTCGTATTGTAAAAATTTTAATTAATGTATATTTCACTAATATGTAAACAGATAAAAGCAGCATTTACACGCGCATATCAAAAGAATCCTCCTATGCTGCCATATGCAATTAATAGCACTACTACAACAAAGAAAAGATCTAGGCAAAATAATGATATTATGGGAGAAGAAGAAGATGAAGAGGAAGAAATTGATGATATTGATTTTGATAAGATGATTAAGGTAGTATTAAAAATTATTTTCGCAATTCCATCATAAAATATTATCAATTTTTTTAACAAAAAAGATAAAGATCACATAATATTTTAGGCAAAAAAACCTACTGTTGCTAGTACTAGCAAAGCTGCTTCATCAACGAAAAAACGCGGCGAATCGATTAAGAAATGTGGAAAAGTACGCGGTAAAGGAAAATAAGAGACAATAGTAAAAGAGAAATGCATGTTTTATTTAGAGAAACTTGAAAATTAATCCATTACGAACATTTATTCTCGAATTAATTGAAGCGTTTGTATGATCGTGAAATGATTTTTATACATTAGATTTATTGCATAAAAAACGCAATATTTGGCTTTCGTTTCAAAATATACTTCCTATTTTCTTATTAGATTTATTGTATTACAAAAAATCAAACAACATCTGACATTGTTTCAAAATATATTTCTTATTGTCTTATTAGTGGAGAATATGTTATGCTAAAGACTCAATAGCTGTAATTCACAAGCTCTCCTCTCGTCTGTACACATTCTGAAACGAAAAAAAGAGCAGTTAGAATGGTATGTCCCAGTTGCTATAAAAATAGCTGATATAAAATACTCATAATATATGAAATAAAATTTTATGAAATATTTTATATATTTATGATGCATACGTTTTTTACTGTGTTTCCATCCAATGTATTCATTAGTTTTCTTATTTTCTTCGGTCAGCCAATCAGTCAAAGGCTTAAAATATTCCAAAAGTCCAGCTGCATCCATTTGCCTTTGACCAGAGATTTTCTCCATCGCGTCTTGCCACGGTTTCGAAGAACCCAACTCAAGCATAGATCTAACATAAATGCAATCAATATCTCTATATTCGAATTGTATTCTTATAATGATGCATATCAGACTTACTTTAGCAGATTTCCGGCGTCCTTATTATCGTAAATATCACATTGACTCAATGGTTTGGCATTTGGATTGCTCGGATCATATTGTTTCGCTTCGATACACAATGCCTTGTGAAACTGAAACTGTATCACAAAGCTTACAAAGTATCTTATATACTCGACGCCCGCAATTATATGATACTTTGAGCCAGGATCGAAGTCTTCTTCCGACCTATCTACGGGAGGTTCGATGCCCTGGTATTCCTCGGCGAGTGTCCACCTTAAAGTAAACAATTTTTTAACTTGTTTCAAATATTTTTTCAATTCATTTTTTTTTCGAAATTCGATTTAATACATTTTTATTCGAGAAGAAATTTTGTTGAAAAAAGAAAGTAATACAGAGGGATATATTTTTGTTATCTAGAACACTGACCAGTTGCAATTATAATTGTCTGGCGTGACTTTTCCTTGGAATACGTTCCAACGCCATCGGTCCATCATGTAAGCGAATGGCAGGAAGACAATCTTGTCAAGACTCTTCATATAGAGGTGATTGAGGAATGCCTCCCGATCAGTCGAGTCATCCATTAATAGACCGATCTTTTTGAGATGACTGGGAGTAGATACGCTGAGAGAAATAACATCACCAACCGCCTCATGGAAACCTGGATTCGCGCCCTCTTTGAAAACTACAGGCTGGTTCTTGTATTGCAAGTAATACTCGATGTGACCCATCTCATGATGCGCTGTTAGCAAGTCTTCCATGTTAATGCGCGTACATTGCTTGATCCTGAAATCTTCGGCATTGTAGAAATCCCATGCGCTCGCATGGCAGATCATGTCTACACCATCCTTCTTTGTCAGAATCGATTTTTTCCAGAATGTGTCCGGCATGGCAGTCAAGTTAATTGATATGAAGAAATTCTCAGCGAGACGGAACATGCTTGTCGCATTGTAATCTGTTTAAAGAATTATGAAGCATTATAATGGATATATGAGTGTAAAGAAAACTGAAAACAAATTGATTCTTTAATAGTGAAAATCTTAAAAGACTCAAATATAAACCTGCCTTGTTCTATCAAAGCGGCACTAACATCCGGCAGTTGTTTGCCCAAGAACGGTACGGTGAAGTTTGCAATATTCCAAGTCTGAGCCCAGGGATTGCCCAATAGATGCGCTGGGATCGGGCCGTCTTTGGAGACAATGTTTTCGCCGTATTTCTTCCTGAGCTCGCGCCGTACGTAAGCATGCAGTTGTAAATATAGTGGCTTCAGTTGTTGCCATTGAGTCTCTGTACAAATTTTGTTGTTTCATTAATACCATTTCAGTGAACGATGCTGCAGATAATCTTACCGATTTGTTCAGGGAAATTATCAGCCTCGTAATCTTTCATCCAAAATGCTGCATAGTCAGAGAAGTTGTTGAGTGTCGCCACAGTATTCGCTAGCTCAACATATTTGGAGTACAGAGATTTGACTTTCTCGCCTGATACTTTCCTCCACTCCACCCAAATATGTTTCAGCTCCTCAGGATCGTGACTACTCTTTGATATCTCAATAATTTCTGGTTCAAGTGCAAGATCACACTTGCTCTTGTTGTGATAATCGCAGATTTTTGCGGTGCTATAGATGTTCTCCATTTTACTCACCGTCATCTCAAATTCATTATAACTCTGCAATATTATATATCACTCGGTAATGATCTAACTTACTCGCAATTTTGGTCAATGAAATGAATTCAAATTTTCGCTATACAACTCAGTTGGAAAATTGTTATAAATTTAATATATATCTCAAACAGTTCACCCAAATTTTTGTATTAATTTAATATAAGATGAATATAAATTACAAATGTAATGGTGTCTGTAAGGTGAAGTTTATGCTGAAAATGATAAAAAATTTCGGAATTGAAATCTTAAGAAAAGTTTTTGTCGTTCTCGACATAAACTCCATCTCATAGGCACGTATTAATGCATATAATCCTGGAAAAGGATTTTCGAATCTGTAAAAGAGGAAAAAAGTAATAAGTATATAAAAATTACAATTTAATTAATTAAATTAATTTATCGGAAATATAGATGGCTTTAGGATTTTTTTAACACATTTCATTCATCTTAAAATTTACGTTAAAATACATTATTTTTATGTTACTTTTTATGTTTACTTGCTCATAAATTGTAACATCAACAAGGGAAACGAACTACATTACATAAGTGATACCAAAAAATAAAATTACCAGTCAAAAGATCACGTAAATTGATGTAAATATTCTAAATGGTAAAAATCTTGAGATGAATCCTATGGATTCTGTACCCCACTTGGATCAAGATATGTTTAGCTATTTTAATTTAGACAGGATTCATAGGATTTTGTGAAAATTTGACCAATCCATCTAAAATACATATTTTAAACGTCTTTCGATCGGTAATATTAATTTTTTATATTACTTTTGCAACATAGCATTCCCTTGTAAGAAATGTTGAATTTCAATTTAATACTAAATATTCAAATAATACAATCACATTACGTTAAATTAGTACTTGAATGTAAAAATTCAACACAAAACAACAAAAAATGATTTTAACTGCACAAATACAAAATAATATTTTTTTACTATACTATTTTTTGTAAGAAATGTATCATTAGTAAATAAATCTCTATATATTCGGGGAAAAAATTTCTTCGTATTAAAAAAAATGTTTTTGCAAAAGTTTTCATTTGTTGCGAAATTTTCGTTACAATTATATCATTCGCTAGAACAAAGTTCAGCTTTAAGAATCTGTTTTTTGTGGTATGATGATTTTTATCGGAATTATGAGCAATCAAAGTTAGAATGGTTCTTTATTTAATTCGCGAATCACTAATAAAAAATCAGGAGCATTTAAAAAAAATAATTTTTTAGGGAAAGCTTCAAGCTTTCACGATAGATAGTCGAAAATTTTCATAAATTTTTTTTGGACACATAAGAGCTCCAAAGTGAAAAGAAAATTTTTCATCTTTTTCAGCTCATAGTTTAAATGTAAAAATTACCAAACTCACAGAAACTCAAAAAATATAGTAACCTTTCGAAAATAGAAATTCCAAGTTTTAAAATCTCTTTTTAAATTTAAATTTCGTTCATTTTTGACGAAAATATCGTATGTACAATTTTGAATTAAAAAATATGAAAAAACTTTTTGCCCGACCAATATATATTTACTTGTTCAGGGAGAGCGGCGACACCGAGTATACTGAGTTTTTTGAACTGTCTCTTCATAGACTCATTTTTCAAGTCTCTCCAAGGGAAGTCATTCACTATTTGAATAATATGTTTGGTAACGTTTGCCCCCTCTGCCGAGCATTTCAACTTTTCTGCCAGATTCTCATTCGTTAGATTCGATGCGTAATTCCATGCGGTGATACTCTGTATATTATTCCATTTTGCATACTCTGCATCGATTCGTTTCAAAAGTTCGTGAGCGCTTTTCAGAAGATCGTCGGAAGTTTCGCTTTTGATATCTGCATCTTCGGTCGTTGGTTTGGCTGCCACTAGAGTTATAACTACTGCTACCAATATTCTAATAACAATAAGAATCTTATTTTAGATCGTAAATGAGAAACACAATTAATAGATTAGAAGCCTACATCGATCAAAACTATCTTTAATGCTTTAAATAATTCAATGTGAATTATATATATATATATATATATATACTCTGCATGTGAGAAACACATGTGGTACTTATTGTCGACGAAGTTGCAGCAACAACTTTACGAACGCGTGCTTCCGGTACTTTCGTACTTTGA